TCGAGGGAGCTGTCTTTAGGAGAGTATAAGAGAAGAGAGTACGCGTTGCCAGTGCGGCAACCATTTATTCTGCTATACCCTCCCAAAACATTGACCAATACACTATAGATCGATACCGGACAGTCTGGTCTCTCAGCGTCATCCGTCCTATTACCCCAAACCATCTCAAAACATTGGCGGTTGGCGCCAATCGATACACTGCATGGCTGCGTTCCGACTATAGTACTGGAACTAGGTCGCAGTGATAGCACGCTACACCGCATCGTGGTGCGTCGAAACGAAGTCTGAACACTGTGTTGTGGAGCCCACATAAATTGATGATGCGTGGTTATGCTCCTGCCACGGAGTTATTTGGTAGGATATTTACATTTAACCAGCATTATCAGCTGTTTTTTCGGAGCTCTTCACCTAGTGCGATCTTCAACGCTCCCTACAGCTCCAAATATTCCTGTCCTCTAGCATGTCTGACGACGCGTGAGGAACGCATGGAACCGCCTGAAATTAGGGGTCCCCTGTAATCAACACCAATTGAATAATTGTTGAGCTTCGTGGCAGTTATACTGTAGGATAACAAAAATTGAAATTGCTAGTCTCTTAAGGAATCTTTCCGGTCCCTGGACTCGATAACTACTCATTTTCAGAAGGAACTTAGGGGCAGCTCGGCGCAGGGGGAGGCGTATTTTGCACTTCTGCTATTTCACACCGACCTGTCGACCATTTCAGACAGTCATTTCGTGAGCTTACAAGAGTTGACAGGTTCTACCATGGTGGCTAGACGAGCTTGCTCCAGCTTCACAAGAGTTCACAGGTTTCACCAGAGTGAGACTTGTAAACCGGAACTAGTGAAGCAGCAAAAGTGCAAAATGCTCCCCCTCCCCCGTCGCCGAATCGCGCCAAAAATTATTTCCTCCGAGGCAATGAAATAAATCTGACAATTGTGAGAATACAGCATACGCAGTTCGCACGGATGGAATCAAGTTCACTACTCCGCTTCCTTTATTTTCGCTCTTCTGTCCTCTCGCGCCTCATAAGACCGGCAACTAATAGTCAGACAGCCTATTTTCGCACTTATTCTGTAGCCTCACAATAACAGGTAATGTTATGTGAACACTGACGAGGCACACAATAAGTGCGAACATTGCCTCTGAGATTCAGATCAAAACATTACCTGTTATAGAGCAGCACGTCAGGTTTCCAAATTCGACCAGCCGGAAATCGCACGTCCGTTATGTTTCCGTATTCACTGATATCAGCACGAGTTTCGTACATCCTTCCATGTCTAAAAAATGCAGTACTGAGGGAAGGTTTTCTTTGTTTTTGCGACAATGGCTTTTGATTCATTAAAAGAACTTCACAGAAGAAAGTCGAAGTTGAATGAATGAGTTGAATGATGTTATATTAAGTTGTCCCAGAGGTTAGTGACATTTTCAGACTTTTTTTCGAATTAACTTCATTTACAAGTCCTATCCGCGGCCTCAACGTGGCGTGGTGGTGGTGGAATGCAGCTATGGCCTCCTGGTGATACGCGAGGTGCCTCCTGGTGATACGCTGACGCGCTGCAGAACTATACTCAGGAGGTTTATTCAAATTATGCACAATGATGATCATCCTGATCAGAGATAGGTTGCCCACGTAATGGGCCAAACTAGGACGTCCACCGTGATGGAACACAACAAGATTAGCAGCGAAGTCCTCCGCAAAGGAGGAAACGCAAGACCATCCCGGATCGCAGCAACTTAACATCGGTACCTGAACCGGCTGTGCTCTGCTGAAATGACGACATGTTAATACTGAAAGAGACATCGGCAAGGGAAATTCGGGAAAGAAATGGTCCAGCGCGAAGACGAGACGGATCGAAGGATTCAACTTGTACTTAACGGAGAGCGATTCGAGGTGAACGGTGTCGACATTGCAGTGGCACAGAGGCTGGAGCAAGCAGTTCAAGATGTGCATACGAATTTACCAACGCATCATGAACGTTACTAGGTGAAGCTGTCGGGCAAATAGCAACTCAAAAAGGCAACTCATTTGTGCATATACCTCAGCAAGAAAAGTTCATGCCAGCTGCCGTCAAGGACAAGTATCTTGGAACAGCTTGCCGCAAGTTCTTGGAACAGCTTGCCGAAATAGCATCGGCGCTTCCATTTGACGAAGACCTGTACATCAATGGACATATAGGCGCAAGCAACCACCAATTCACCACCACCAAAGACACTCAAGGAAGATTCGCCTACAGCACAAGGAATGATAATGGCATACACATTGGAGTTCGCCAAGTCACTGGATCTGATCATAATCAACTCCTTCTTCCAGAAGAGAGAATCCCACCTAGTCACGTACTATAGTGGGGGACGTAAGACCCAGATCGACTACATTTTGACGCGGAGGAGCCAACGAAGCAACGTGCTAGACTGCAAAGGTGATTCCATCGGTAACGGTCAGCAGTCAAATCGTCCACTCATTCGCGTCAAATCGTCCACTCAATCCGCGACCATTGAGATGCCGGAAAACTCATCTGCCTTCAAGCAGCCGAGAGTCCCAGAAAGCTTTTGAGGTGGAACAGGATTGCTACACTGGACCAACTGTCAAAGACCACTTATCGATGAAGATCCATCAGTACTCGTCCCAAGACGTTGAGAAGGACTGGAAGAGACTTGTCGGTGAAATCCGAGATACCGCGCAGGCTATGAGAAGGAATTTAAACGTGCGCCGGACCGAAGTGTCTGGTTTTGGAACATGGATGTCTCAGCCGAGGCTACGGCAAAGAAATACGCGTAGAAAACAAGAATCGTCAAGGTAGGGTTAGTGCGAGACTCCGTTAGAACACGAGCGTTACCTCAAGCGATTCCGTTAGAACTTCAGTGACTACACCTGCGTTGCATATATCGCCTTGTCCTTCTGGTATGCTCTTTTCGTTCGATAGCAAAGCAAATCTTGATTTTGGTTTTCATGAAAAAAGTCCTTATCCAGGATGTTTTCGACGTTTCTCTCACTTGTTTTCAGGGGTGAGTCAACTAGTGCATGCACTTCTGTTTTGCAACCCCGTTTTCTACGAACTTTTCGACAGCTTATCACGAAATGTGCCTTCAGGGAAGGAGGAAGTTCTCTCAAGTAGCGCTCACGATTTTCATTAAAGCCGCCGTATATGTAAGAAACACTAAAGTACGGAGTTATAATGAGGCTTCGTATTTCTCTCTTGCGTTATCCTGCGACAGGGATGTTGCAGTCACTTTTTGCTCTTCTCCAAAAGCAGTAGCTCGAAGCAAATACAGCTACTCACATAGTCGAGCCAAGCGTTCACGTAAACAATCTGGTTCTTTTCGTCGACATCGATGATTTGTTGAAGAGAAACCTGAAATGAAAATTATTCTTCGGAAAGATCGCAGAGGAAGGGATTGGGTTTCGACTTCTATCGCGCCCATCGATCAATTCGCCGGGGGAAGAAAATTTCCGCAGTAACGAGGTTGCCTATTTGCTAACAGCAAACATCCGTATAGGACAGCGTTCAGGTACTTCGCGGCGGCCCAGCGTATGCAGTCGCACGTTGACGGCGATTGATGCGCATAGTTTTCGAACTGTCAGGACACGCTGGTCAAATAAGAAGCCCATTACATCTTCGAAACTTTCGCGCACTATCGCGAATATCCATTGCAACCTACCTGCATCATCCCGATGCATAAATCAAGGGGGTCGCCAAACAGCGAAGTCGAAAAAACGTGGGATAAAACGGAGAGGATCAGTGATAAGACTGAGGACGCGTGACACTCTTCACTTTCTCTATCCGTAGCTTCTTCCTTCCTATTTCACTATCTCTCACGCAGCGATACTAATCTACTGGAAAAACGTTATGTCGAGAAATGGCGATAATTCCGGTATTCACTTTATGTCATCTTCCATCTGTGCGGCGAAGAAAGCCTAAAGCTTCTCTCATCAGCTCGTTGATCACGTCGGGACTTAAAGACGGTCCACCGCTCGAGCAACTCGTAGGCTCCTTCCTTGTACAAGTAGTCCAGCCCTCTGTATCTAAGACTATCCCTTTTTAGCAGCTTCACCTAAGTGATGAAGGCGCTGTGGCCCTCATAAAAGGCATTCCTGACGCCTCTAGATCTCCCGCCCGCCGAAACTCAAACGCTACTGTCGTAAAGTCCATGTTCGCCTTTCTTGTAACCTGGGCATTTCTGGTACTTATAGTTCTAATAACTTCTTTCTTATGCCAAACAGGTTTGTATGGTGGAATACTTTATTTACGCCTGACGTTTCGACAATATCGTCGTTTTCAAAGGCCTGAAAGAATAAGGTGAAATCATGGCGGCTGTGATTCTATATTAAATGCACGATACTGGCTCACGAAAATGATGTTGGTGCTAGGAAAACTCTCGAGGCTTTCTGGATAAAGCACCGTAATCCATCTATGAATAACAGGAATGAATGCATCTCAATAACTGCCGATTTCTTGCCCTACATTCCACTTTGTGGGCTTTAACAGTGAGAAAGTGATGCACTGCACGTACATACGCACCTTATCACACCATGGCAGTGCGAGACAGTGAGTCTCACTTGCTCCATTGTGTCACTAGAGTTGAGCAAATCATCGGCGCTGGTGGAATTGAAGAGGTAACTTATTGCTGGAGTTTCCTTTTCGTCTGTAGTTCCTTAGGTCTGGGTTGCAACTAGTTGAGGGCGGGCCCATGTTGAATAGGATAGATAGTACTTCATGAGTTTCGGTATGCTTTCAGGCCTTTGAAAACGACGAGATTGTCGAAACGTCAGGCGCAATAAAGTACTCCACCGTACAAACCTTTTTGCATAAGAAAGAAGTTATTAATTCGAAGGCTACTTTCTGTCACAAGTTTAGTTTTACACCAGATTTTCGTATTTTTTGTGTTGCTTGATGATACGAGTATTGAATGAGCGGAGTAATCATTACTGAGCTAGATGTGACAGGATATAGATCTGCCGGCATAAAACGAGGTCCTCGTTAGAGTGGCCACCAGGTCTTCATATAGGGTGTCACCACCTTTTTTCCGCGTTTGCCGTCCCTGTAGAGCTATTTAGCGACCATGAGTTTGTTGAGCGTCACTATCCACAATACAATTGCGGGGATTGTCTCCAAGTTGGTAACAAAACCCGAAGGTCAGGTGGACTTCTGCTATCAAACTAACATGATATTGCGCGTGCAGCACCATCCTACTGCTGAATGAAACATCAGTTGATACGTAGCCAGCCCATCAGTTTTTAGGGATATACCTGGAGGTGAGCCTGCGTGGACAGCTTACGGAGAGAAGAAAAACTTGGCACCTGTCAGGTAAAAAGTTGATGATAGGAATTTTATCAATGCCTGGCTACGTGGAAATTAAGACTTTCAATGCTGTAAAAGTGAGACAAGAAGAAAGCATTCAGTGAAGGTTTTTCTACCTTGAGATATACGGTGACGGGCTTCGAATGGTTCGCGACCGGCCGTTCGAGATTATTATAGTCCCTCATAAGATCCTCGTAGAGGCGTCGTTCATCATACGAGGCACTGACTATACCAATAGCAATGGCTGAGCAGACGACCAGCGAAATCCACATTTCCCATGCTCTTCAGCGCATCTATCTATAAAAACATACTTTATTTGGAGAATTAAGTAGATGAAACGAACCCATACGAGGTCGTTAGATGAATCCTACTATATATAATTCACTAAGTATGTCTGCTCTGTGTGTGTGTGCGTCTCTGTCTGTCACGAAATTCATAGTACCCCTCGTAGTAAGCGTGGAAAGTCCACGCTTACTACGAGGGGTACTATGAATTCCAAGAAGTGATGTAGGGTGTGGGACGGGAACATTATTGGCGGGTGACAGAAAGTGATAACAGTTGATAAGATCCGATAAGGGGCCTCGGAAGGGGAGGGTCATCAAATTCGTAACGCATTTACAGCAACAGTGGGACCTTGGAGAGAGGTGATATAGGGTGTGGGACGGGAACATTATTGGCGGGTGACAGAAAGTGATAACAGTTGATAAGATGATAAGGGGCCTCGGAAGGGAAGGGTCATCAAATTCGTAACGCAGGTTACAGCAACAGTGGGACCTTGGATCCGAGAGGTGATATAGGGTGATATGATAGTGATATGGGACGGGAATATTATTGGCGGGTGACGGATGTGATAGCAAGTGATAGGAGCTGAAAGTGACAAGTTAACATGGGAAAATCCGCTACACCGCTCACAACAACAATGCGATCGATATGACTCAAGTATAACGATCTCAATGATTCCAACAGAACTCATTCCTCACTGCTTATCAGTAACGAATCATGTACGACCGCTAAGCTAGCTCTATTCCAAATGCATGGGGTTTGTTTACAGAGATGTTATGAACAGCATCGATTGACTTAATCACTCTTGTGACAATTACCTCCTTATCCCTGAGTCAGAGTAGGCGTGGCATTTGAACATGGCACGGAACTGGTTACTCGTGGAATATTCCAGTCTGGGACAACTGTCATCTTGTTCTGTGTTGGACAGAGACACGACAACAATTGTGTCAAGATGAAAATATCACCAGAAGCATAGACACCTTCAGGTTAAGTTGAAGCATGCAGCCACGCCTACCCGATCTCAGGGATTTCGAGTATATCTTTCATCAACAACCTTAGTGAGGGCCATTCACTGCAGAATGCGGGAGTGCATTCCAAAGCAAGACGGCTTGAGAGGGGAGAATGCATCAGTAGGATGCTTCAGAGGCTAACCTAGCAGGCTGCTCCATTCCCGTGTAAGTTATGAACGTGGAACGTACCAGTCGGATCGCTGGCTAACGTCGGCGCTCCTCCCTATGCGGCGGGCGCTGCTGCTGCTTCTGCGTCTTGACGGAAACGGACGCTGCTTTTCAGTTTTTGGCAATAAAATCCTCTGAAAGTGTGGTTGAGTCAACGGGTGCGTAAACTTAGCTACGCTGGAAAATCCGCCCCCGCCCGGCTCAGCCAGCCATGCACAGAAGGAGGAGCGCCCGGGCGACGCAGTCTGGACATCCGACTGATACTGAATACATACATACAAGTGAAATAAATAAAGGCGAGACAAAAGGTATCAAAGGAGCTCGGCACTATTCAAACTAAACCTACCACCACTCAAAACTTTTTTGTTAGAGCTTCGCACGCCTCCTGAGAGTCACTCGTAGCAAGCAGGCAGTAAACAGCAATCATACTAAATGCTGCCAGAGTTTGTTCCATCACATCGCTAAAGAGCTTCGAAGCTCGCTATATGGGCATAGAATGATTCATCAGAACTATTGATGGAAGAGTACGAATAGTTTATAGAGCTCGGCTTACTCTTCGTTCAAAGACCTTGAGATTGATCTACTGAAGAAGTCATACAATTCGGAGAACAGTTTCCCAGACTACTAAATCACCATGGGTGAGCAATAAGTTACAAGGAAAAATTATAACTTAGAGAGGTCGTGAAATGGCGCTAGTTCTTCAATTGTGGCCACAAGTTCTTCTCTTCTATTCATTCTGGGCTCCTAACCACTAATTGTAACATCTCCAACACTTTGTGAGCCGAAGTTTCAGCTTCTACTGTCAGTATTGCCTCCCAGGAGTGTCATTTATCCGCGTGAACAACTATGCTATTCCCGATAGTGTTAGATTCCGGCCTCCTAAGCACACGCTCCTTAGCTTGCACACTAAGTGGATCAATTTCAAACGCTTTTTGACTTTAAGGTCTGGAGAAGTCAAAAAAGCCAAGAGGTAGGTCAAAGCCGAATAAAGTGCAACAGTTTTGGACAAGCTCTTTTGGAACTATTCATGCTGATCATCGTGGCAAGATTAGGCTGGGAGGAAATTGGGAAACAGAATCGTTTTTAAAGGGAACATTCAAAAGAGAAGCTCGGAAAGCTTCTAAAAAGACCCCTCTTCAATTGTCGGAGTTGATCAATTTCAATGAACTCCGACAATTGGTCGAGTATGAAACAAAAAACACCGCGTGCTGGAACGAATACAGTCAGCTGATTCATAATAATGAGCCCTAGAGCGACCATCGAGGAGACTGGAAGCTTCCATTTTATACCATTCGCCCAGCAGCATCGTTATTCACTGCTTCGTTATTCGCTGCAAGGCGGAATTCGAAGGCGGAGTCTCGGGGAAGAGTAGCTGGAAAAAAAGAGGTGTCACTGGAGCAACGTAGCGCCTCTACACTACAGGGTGACCAAAAAGTTCCGGGCAATTTGGAGTTCGCGCGTTTTTTGAGTTGTCTCATGTTCTTCTTCTTCTCTCCGACAGGTTATTTGTGTTCCAAAAGCAATTTGGATCTACTGCATAAGTCATCTATCCAATCACTTTCGATTACCCCTCACAATGTCTCGAGAAAGTCGAAAGGTCACAGCGTTGAGATTCATTCTTCTGGTCTGTGCTGGTTGCTGGAAGAACGTGTTCTCCTCCGACAAAAAAAAATTTTCGATCACAAGTACCGGAATTGTCGTCTGCTTCTCAGAAAAGGTCAGCAGAAGACAATGACAGCGAAATCCGTTGGACGCAATTCTTTCCAGCCTCAGTCATGGTCTGGGGCGATATCTGTGCCACCGGAAAGACGCCTATTGTCTTCATCGAGCGCAACGTTAAGATCAGTGCTGTCAACTAACAACATCGCTTTCTTCGCGGTGTACTGAAGCCAAGGGTGTCGCAGTACTTCGGTCCGGGTGAATTTGTGCCTCAGAAGACTGGGCTCGAGCACATTCTGCCAAATCCACCACTTGCCGTTTGTGAAGAGCTGTTGGGCAGGGACGTCTGGCCTTCCCAACTCGCGTCCAATGGATTACTCCATTTGGGGCAAAAAATCTCAGGAATCCGATGCGCGACGGTGGACCACCTGAAAGCGGCGTTGCTGCGTGCTTGGGACGAAATTACAGTAGAAGAATGCGCGACCATTGTCGGACACTTCGAAAAGCGACTGAGCAAATGTATTGAGGCCGAAGGAGGCAATTTTGAACACATGTTGTGACTTTGTTGTATACTGTCATTGTTACTGATTTGATGAAGACTCCCAGTCGTTCAGGTTTGCTGATTTACTTATTTAAATGGCCTTTTCATACTACCAAAGTACTCTACTATCTACCAAAGTACTTCGAACTAGCTAAGAAACTAACAACTAACAAACTAGCTACAGGAGCACATTTCACACTGATCTTACCCAAAGGGTAAGCGACGATGAAAATCTAGCAAGAATTTCGGAAAGTGAAGCAGCAATCAGAGATACCGCCTTCTTGCTTTTTTCATGAGAAGTGGTAGAGGAATAGAACAGTCTGGTGCAGAAGTCACCAATATGGTACGCTGACGTCGAATTCGCGTGGGTTCGAAAATACCTGGGTTAATTGCATACTTCAAAGTCGAACAGTCAGTAATAGATTACCTCGTAACAATAAAAGGCTGACTAAAAAGCGGTTGACATCTGCATTTCATGGCTGACAGCCGGACAAAGTGGTCCTCCAAAATCTCTATAGCTTTGAGAATAATGGGATTTAAATGTGATATAATTAAAATAATGAAATAATGGAATGCACGAGACCATCAAATGGTTTTATTGACCTTAGGCTACATCTCCTTTACAACTGCGATTCGTTTCGCCTTGATAGACGTGTAGGTGAGGGACTGTTATATTTTTTAGCAGCAAAGCTACCATTGCTTCAGCCCTCCAAACCGTCCGTAAGGGAGACTTCGAAGAGCTGAAGGGACTTCCGGAGAGCGTCAATAGAGCATTAACCTGTGGGGGAAATAGGACCAGTTGTTAGGAAGATGCTGTAGTACAAGGCATAAAGTAAGTTTGAGGAAAGTGCAGAGAAATGATTGATAACGAGAGAAATAGTGAAGTTTCGGAAGCCGAATAGAGGAAAAAACGGCCACATGCGAATTCCAGAGAGCTGCAGCAGTTCGTTTGCATGAGGTTCCCAAAAAGCTAAAAAAATCAGCCATCAGCCCTCTTTTATTCGAGCGCTCGCTCCGTGAGTGATGGTATGGTGACATGCAGATGATATGACCTTAGAAGTAACGTCGTGAAAAAGATTCCATTTCACACTCTAGAACAATTCGAAGAGTTGCTCTGAAAAAGGAAGGACAAGGTAGCCGGCAACGAGATGGTGATATGGAATAATAGTGAAGGCGGTAGGAACAGCTACATTGTCATGAGGACGCGAGATGAGCAAAAAACCAGAGAGGGGCGCTGCAGTTAATCACTGCAGTTGAACTGAGCGCATAGACCAGAGTAGACCAAGAGGGTTTTGTTCGGATGAGACACCCAGCAAAAGAAATGGGAGCTAGTGGGAGATGGGTTACTTCTTCAAAATATTCTGGAACCGCAGCCAAGATATGAAAGCAGCTTGATCAGGCTTACGTTTTCGCTTAATATCAGTCGCCTTGTAGGAGCCTAGGAACTCAAAGATAAGTGTGATGTACCATGGAACCACCGGAAAGCTCAGCACAGCTCGCCATACACTGGGCGTTTGAGGAGGTCTCTTCGCTCACAACTGGACTCTGCTCATCTTTCAAGCGTACTGCTGGTTTCTGCTTCAACCACCTACCATCTCCCCCTCTATGTTCATATAGGTCTTAAAATCAAGCGTCGAAACCCACCTGGTATTCAGTCACCTAATGCATAAACATGAGGAAGCACGGGATTTGGATACATCGTAAGGACTTTGCAGTTTAAAGCCATATAGTTAGGGATTTCGACGCGAGATAATCGGACTTCCAAGCGCGCTAGCCTTTATGAGCGTCTGCTGGGTCAACAAAACAGTCTCAAAAATGAGGCGTGAATTCATGGGGTCATCGGGGTACGGAGGCTAGATCATCTAAAGCCATCCACTGTGAGTCAGTTTAGTGGTAGTTGGAAACGCAAAGTAGCCTGATGTCAAAAGGTTGAGTAGATTCGCGTCTGTAGCGTAGAAAGCTTTTCTCAGACACCTTCAGTCTATGCGCTTTATGAGCGGAAGAGTCACTCGAACATACAGTCGCACTTCTATTTAGTTCTCCACTTCCCAACGGCGACTAGGTCAAAACGCAGGCCAAATAAGGTTGACTAAATATCTTGGCTGTTCAACACACACTAAAGGGGAAAACCTTACACCATGCCAAGCTTCATAGAAATTTGATCCTAGATTGCGCGTATGGAGATATCACGAAAAAAATGTTGCGAATCTCGAGACATAACCGAAAAGTAGGTCTGATAATAAAGCCGTGTTCAATGAGGAGACTGGGCCGTGTCGGCCGTTTGGGCATGACGCCACCCCTTCTCACCAAAATGTTTCGGCTTGCCCGCTTCAGAATCGGTGGAGAACTGCTGCCCCGCGGTCGAGCCTATCCTCGCCTAACACGCCCCCAGCATAACCAAGATGGTACGTTGCAGTGGCTTAAACCGGTCATGACTCGTAGGGTGGCCAAATTTGTGCTTAGCCACCCATACGAGTCATGACCCAGGGTGCGAGGAGGTGATGATGTAGAGGAAAGAGGAGATAGAGCCTGACGCTTACTACCATAAATGCTTTAGCTAGATAATTACAGTCTTATCCTGCTCAGAACGAAAGAACGCCAGTTGCGTGCTTCATCTGAACGCTGCATTTGAGGTGAGACAGTTTTTTGGTTCAAGAACATTTGTACTGGTAATTCATATCTCGTAAAATACAAGACAGGGTGACGGCTGCCTTGAGCAGAAATATCCCATGAGAAATGCATTCTACGGCACGTTCAAATGAAACGCGCAGTCACGCCTGCTCCATCTACGGGATGGTGAGTGTACGCCGCTATTCCTACTACTGCGCCGACAAAATCCAAGCCGACACTTTTATGGATTTTCTGATTGAGACCCCGTTGGTAGTTCCGAAGGAACAACGAGTCCACAGGCGCCGACTCCGGAACTAGCAGCAGAGGTAAAAGCGCCGAGCCGCCAAAGGCCACCTCAAAGTTACGGTTTTGTATCATGGTGTATAGATGAAAGCCATTGGCGTGGAAGCGTAATGTGGCCCCCGACCTACGCCTCAAATCCTCGCCTTTGTCAACCTGGAACGAAGAGCTGCAGCCGACGAAAAAGCATGAATATTGTTACCTGCTACGTCGTAGAGTTCTTATTCGCCGGGAATCAACCTGCGGATGAGGAGCTTAGTGTTGAAAATGGGAGATAATGACGCGTAAAAACTTGTAATTGCAATGGGTTCTGTTTGGGGCAGGTGGCATGCTTTTTCTGCTTTTTTCTTCACTATCGAGCTCCTCAGAACCTCGTCGTCCATACGCGAACTCCTGACCCACTAACTGTGATGGCTAATGATCGCGAATTTTGCTTTTAAGTCAGGCGTATTCATCTGTGCGCAAGGACCATGACTACTTTCAGGCATAAAAGCCTGGCCAAACCTCTCTCGGAGAAAAATTTCCGATCTGAGTATGGGAATTCTCCTTTTTAGCCGTAAGTGCCACTATCTTGAGTAGACAGGAAGTAGACATCCCTCGTGGATTGGACTCAGCGAATAACAGGTGATAAGAGTGCGGCGAAAGGTCACAAAGAGCAACAACGAGTATGAGCCCGTCAACATTCGGCAACCTCGGGGAAAACATATCAGATTTGGGTGACCAGGGTCAGCGTGGTGCACAGTAGCATTCAACGCTTGACTGCACAATTTGGAATGACTTTGGTCTTGGTTTACCGGAAAGACTTCCCATTCAGATAGGAACTATTTCACTGGTATACAGCAAATGAACGTTGCAGATTAAAGGCAATGCCCGCGATCAGTCGCCATCACAGATAATGGATCAGGAGGTTGCATATCGACGACAAGGTGCTGAGTAACCTGATGGCGAAGAAAAATGCAGATCCCACACTACGCCCTCATCCTCACCCGTCACAGAAAGTGGATTAGGGGTATGCATATAGACGACAAGGTAACTTGATAGTGAAAAAAGCAGATGAAAACGTGCCAGCTGCCCTAGATAGATCCCCGTTTCAATCCTAGTTTGTCACCGTTAACCCCATCTCCAATACTACGCTCCCATCCGCACAGATGATTCCCCGATAAGAACTCTACGACCGTACAAGTGACGATTTTCATGCTTTTTCGTCCTGCAGCTTCGTTTTCACTGAAAGGCGGGCCTTGAAGGCGGAGTCTGGAGGCGGAGTCACTGGAAAAAAGGAGGCGTCACTGAACCTACATTGCTCTAGGGCTCCTCCCTCACGATTTTTTGCCGCGAAACCGGTACAAGAACGGAAACAGCGACAAACCCTAGCGTGCAACACACGAACTTTCTCTGGAAGCTTTTTGTTACGAAGGCTCAAGTGCGTTTTCGCGCTCAATTGGCTATATCATCATCAACCTGACATCAGAGAGAACGTTCTCAGAATAAACGGTTAGGTCTTTTGAAAATGCTGGCTTGAGTGCTCCAGGATGACATCCTCTCATGAAGTCCCCGTCCCAGGGCACTTGTCAACCGGGAGGCCTCTCTTCTCTTTCCTTTTTTCTTCCTCCTTCCTTCTTTTCCTTCCTTCCTTCTCTGATCCCTCCTTTACCTTCTCCCTTCAACTACTGGACTGGTAGATGCCTCGTGAAAATAACCCTGGACCCTCGCAGCGAGAGCACGTCTGGTTGACAAGTGCCCCGCGACCCGCCTAGCACTTGAAGGGAGAAGGCAGACGACGACGAAAGAGAGAGGGAAGGAAAGAAAAGAAGGAAGGTGGAAGAAAAAGGAAGAAGAAGGGAGGTTTCGCCGTTGACAAGTATGCTGACCATAACGTGGTCAGGATACTTGTCAACGGCGAAAGGGACGTGAGATTTAGAAGGCTTTCTTCCTCACACCCTCCTTCATGAATGAGCATGTTCCGAAAAAAATACAAGGTTTGGGTTCGCAAAGTATGTGTCAAAAAAAATATTCGATGGTCCCTCTAAGAAAAACGTACATGATCAAAAGCACTTCAAGTGGGAAATGGCACTGTACAAAGGAACACGTTATTTGAGCTTTGTGCGAATTTTGTGAAAGCTGTTATGGTGAGATGGGGCGTTGTGACGTAAGGGTGGTCAAGTGGCTTCTGTATTGGTACCTTTGCAGTCTCATACGCTATGTGATCACTCACCCCTCTTGTCTGGTCTCAACAGACATGTCCCGTTTTACCCATCATAGCTTCTTCTCCTCTCCTTTCAAATCATCAGCAGGAGGGAGACCCTATTAAAGCACTTTCGATTTTGCATCCTATACCTGTACTACCGTCCACCTTACACTCAAATGGTGAGCCAACTAGCAGATATCGCCCACATAGCAGGGCAGCAAGAGGCAAGGGTCTCTACACTGTGCCGAGTCCCATTCATGTGTCTCTGCCTTTCTACCGTCTGAATCCTCGTCCACTCTTCTTGGTTGCCGATTGGAAAAGCCCTGTGTTTTTCAAGTCACGTGAATAAATCTTAAGCAGAAGTTGCCACGACAAATGCGAGAAAGATCATTGTGCAGTACGGCTAGCACGTCAAAGAATAGTTACGCTCCTCAGCAGCGCCTCGCTGCCGGAGCCCTATCCAACGGGGGCACGTTATAGGTCCTATTAAGCTACAACAGTGCCGACCGTAGATGCTGCTCACAATGTCCGACGGCATGCTTGATGCTCGCATGCATTCATTACGAAAACGATTGATATGCACCGCCGTGTTCGGTGTACACGATATACAGTTCATCCGGAGCACCTTGATTAGTGGCCCAAGGCGTACTCGACGGCGGGTGGGTTGGGGACACGACCGCTGTTTCAGCCTGTATTTCAAGCCATTTTCTCCCTAACTTTCACTGTTTTGCCTGCTTTTCTTATGATTAGTTATTTCTTGTCTTCACAGGGTAAATCATGATTCAGATCCCTCTGATTTTAGAGTACAATTGAACAGTTAAGCAGGCAAGTGAACAAATACCTGAAAAAAAATCGCAAAAACACTCCACTACGGAAACAAAAAAAGAACACCCACGGCCTAATGTACTTCGTAAAGACAATAGAACAACTTACCTCAAAAAATAGAAAAATGAAAATTAGAGAGAAAATGACCATATTAGGCCCGAAACAGCTGATCGCCGGATGACGACTGTACCAATAGATGCGTGCAGCCGTATCTATCAAAGCGATTGCTGACACGATGCCACGAGGAACTCGTCCATGAATGCTCGTTGAGTGCCATGCAGAAGAAGGCTTTTCCGCAGGTTTTTAGCCTTTTAAATTGATCTTTTCGTCTTTTCCCTACCCCTGCTACTACTTTTGAGCAAGTAGCAAATTATCATGCCTTAGGCCTTCAAATGCATTATAACTCTGACAGCTTCGTCGCATGTAAATCTGACAATAGTGCTTGAAGGGCAGCTCACGTTATACTCATTGTGAATACTTGGTCAGAAATGCTCCCAGTTGACTGCTAAACTAATGGTGCATGCTGACATTGAAAAATCACAGAAAAACCAGGGATTCTATATCCTTTCTCCATTTTTCATTCATTCTATTCGGCTAGTGCGAGGTACATATTTCAGCGCGCTTTTACTAGCTTCTCGAAGGACAAAGCAAAACAGAACATAAATTGGTCCTGAGCCTAGATTAATTTTGAATACTTCTTGGTTTCCTATGATAGGTACTTTGTAGACCAGTAATATTAACTATTTATTGACCACAAAGTTGAAGCCCTAAAGTAGCGC